AGGTGTCCTGGATTGTATCCAGTTTACTGTCCATGTATGCGTGCATGGACAAGATGCTCGCCTTCAGAATCTTTTCATTGTTGCTAAGGGTCGAATCATCTAACCCCTCTAGCGCAGCCTTGTCTGCCTCCCTACCCTCTAGTCTGACACTCCTATCTCTAATCTCTTTCTCTCTTTTAGTAGCCTGCCTGAGTTCCTCCTCTAGCCTCAAGTGGATCCTCTCGACTTGCTGGAGCTCCATCTGCTCCCGGGTGCGTAGAGGCGGTGACCTGAACTGCGAGCCCGCCATCTGACTAGTGCCAGCTCCTGACGTACTGCAGATGGACTGTGAACTGGTCGGCATGCCCAACCTTTGACCAGGTGAGTTTGCAGCAGAAGTTGCTGCCGAGGTAGCCATAGCTAAAGCGCTAGCTGCTGCTGCTGCTAACGCACGTTCAGCCGCTGCTGCTGCTGCTCTTGCACTCTCTAGATTGCGGGCCCTTGTCTCGCCCCTAAGCCTTCTTTCGTCTCCTGGTAGTAGAACCTGGAACACGACAGGTATCCTAGCGGTATCCCGTCGTGTCTGCCTCCTATCGTCAGATCTATCCTCCTCACCGTCTGATTCGCTCATGGGCTAGGCAGACGCTGTCTGCACTAGTGTCCTTTTTGGAACCTACCACAGCATGCGTCTAACCGGATCTAAAAATACATAAATAAATAAATGTCCGGCGAGTTACCTAGACTACTATTCAAGTGGCATCAACAGAACCTACACAAACTGTACACATTGTCTAGGTCTATTATGATTAGTTCTGCACAGAAGATTCGAGAAGAACTGACTATGGTAGATTACAGTCCTACTCTAGTCTGTCTGTTAGGTGTCAGCAGTCGATCAACCAACTAATCAAAAATAAAACTTCGACTAATGTGAGCAGATGTATGCACAATGGTAATGGTAGTGATGTTCAGTTGAGTTCACAATTGGAATCCCCTTCCCCTGTATCCAACGTACCTATGAGCATCATCAAGCTGCGGTGTCTAAGGTTTGCAACCACGGCCCATCCCCGTGCCCAAAAAGTATGCTTATGACCAGCCTGCCCTTTATTTACGCTCACGTGCAACGAGCCTTACATCTGATCTGGCTGATCAAGAGGCAATTTAAGGACAGCCCCTGGAGTCCTCAGGAATTCTTTAACGTCGCAATCAGGACGACGATCACAGCCAGTGGACAGTTCATACCCCAACCAGAAATGTTTATAGACGGTCTGGGAGCGTCTCGGTTGGACCGGTCAGTCCACACACCCCTTCTATCAGCGCAGCAAAGAGCCAGCCTCAATGGACAAAGCAGGATGGCCTGCGTGTACTAATACCCATGGGTTGGCATGGTGACCGTGACCCGTGCTTCGACCAGGGCCCTTCAGAGGCACCGCCCTCTCCTGCCAGATGCGCCACTGGGAAGAATGTCGTCTCTCAAGATAGAGCGCACACGACTCCTTTCAAAAGAGAGGACACTCAAGTTGGACTCACTTCCTCACGGTAAGAAGAGATTGAGAGGGTGGACAAGGAATGGGAACAACGTACCCGGAGATAGCTGCCCCCAACCACAGATTTCTCACCAATTGGGCCGACGTGCATTTCGATGACCAGTCATTAGTCTCGGTACCACCCACAACGTAATGCAGTGCCACCTCAGCCAAAATGCCACATCAGCATACTCTCATCATCATGCATACACCCGCTGTCGCCACAGCTCCCACGCTGTCGCCACAGCCTTCCAGCGGCTGGCCTCTCCACCTAGGCCCCGCTAATAAACCAGCGGCGAAGTATCCTCACTGCACATGAAGCATCGTCAGCACACCAAGTCACAATGTCGCCAGTGCCAGGTAAGCGGTGATCACCAACCAGCTCCGATACCAAATTGCAAGGAATATGAGTGTGAGCGATATACATAAAACCAAGTTGCGAAATCACACAGCTGAACAAGTAGTTGTGTCCCAAGCAGAGAGTACAAATGCACCGAGAAAACCATCCATATAGAGCAATACAATGAAGTAATGAGCCAATGTCCAAGCCCGTAGGCCACACCAACACAGTATCCAAAGTCGCTCTCTCCTGTCTGGCGCTCGGCACCCAGCCTACTCTACCTGACTAGCCTACCTTCAGCCGGTTCACGCAACAGGATCACTTCGCCTTTTGAAGACCAATGTACATGACTGCCAACACTATCGCCGACCTCTCTTCATGTACCGGGTACGTATCTCGTCACCCTCAATCAGACCTTGATTACCCCACACAGCGCCTCCTTCCCTGAAGACCACCCAATCATCCGCTGTCCCCCTGGCGCCCAGCAGCCCGGCTATGGCTGCCTGCGCCCCGCTTCCCTGCAGTGCCCCACCTCACCTCTCGCGCCCCGTCAGCGCCCTTGGCAGCAGTGCAGCATCAAGCGAGAGCGCAGCAGCACTTCCGCATTGCCAGCACTGGCCAGAATGCCTGGCCTGGGCTGCTTCCTTCCTTTGTGGAAGTGGCAGCCTCCTGGATGCTGCGTGCGGCCTGGCTGGAAGCTTCCAGTAGCTTCCGGTTGGGTCCCAGACCCTGCGCCCAGGCCTGAGACTACAGTTGAGGGCCTGGGCCCCTTTTGCAGTTAGGCACGGCCTGAGTCTCCGGACTTGGGCTGTTTGCTGCATCTGTGCAGGGCTCCCAGGCAGGTGCGTTGACACAACTGCTTTTGCAAAGGCCGAAGGCCTGCTTCACAATGTATCGGCCCTGCTTTGTGTATGTGTGCCCAGGCGCAACTGTCAAGGCCTGGGTCAACTGTATGACGCAGCAATGTGAGGCTCACGCTTCTTCCCAAACAACTGGCGTGCTGCGAGAGCCTGAATACCCACATATGGAAATGTCGAATTTTGCCTTTGACGAATATTCAGGCCCGCCTTCACTTAGGGCGGGCACTTGTCTTGCTGGGGGCCTTAGCCCAGAACAATGTGATGTCTGATAGGGCCACTTGAGGGCTTGTTCCTCACAATATATATATTGTCACATATATATATCATCACAAATAGAACTGCCCAGTAAACCGTAGGCAGAGAGAGAGAAGAGGACAACAAACGAGGGGCTGTGACAAACTGTTTCGTCGGAGTTTCACCGACTCAATATATATATAGTCAAACAGAGCTGCCCCGTAAACCCTAGGAAGAGAGGGAGAAAAGGACAACAAACGAGGGGCTGTAACAAACTGTTTACATAACCCAAGTACTATTTAGGGTTAATAAACAAAGAAGACCGAAAAGGCCGAACAGAAACCGAGGCCTCACCTCAACTGCCTGCAAAATATGGAATCCACATTTCCCTACATATCAAAATTCAAACGGTTCTGTGCCGAAAAGAATGAACACAACCTGAAGCCTCCATACATACACTTTCTGCACAGTACCAAGTCCAATTTTCCCTACATAGTATGCTCCAAAATTTTAGGTATTTGATGCCAATAAAGGTGTTGATGAGAAAGTATTTATTATGGAAACATAAACGTACGAGGGAGCACAGGAGAGGACAGATCACTCAGTGCAGGGTATACTCACACAAGCACAGCTTACATTTGGAAATCCAAGCGGTTCTGTGCAGAAAAGGGGGAGCAAAACCTGAAGCCTTACCTCAACTTTCTGCAAAGTATCGAGTCAAAATTTCCCTACGTAGTACGTTTGCAAAAATGAAGGAATTTGCTGCCAATAAAGGTGATGATGAGAAAGAAACCGACTTCTAGAGACATAAACGTACAAGGACGCAGAGGAGAGGAGAGGAGAGATCGTTCAGGGCATACTCACACTAGCACTATTTTAAATGTACTGAACCACATTTATCGCTAGAGCCCTGGATGTATCTAGCCACAATAACATCAAGAAATCAACTTCAAAAAAATAAGTGAAAAAAACTTCTAGTGTCAGTACGCCCTCACTCTTCAGCCATTTTCACTTTGGAACCTTCACTCACCCAACTTGAAATAAAACACCCATGTGGAAAACTGTACCCAAAAAAACCTATCGACGCTTGTTGGAGCTGAAAGCCATCGCCGATGCGAAAAACATAACTCAACCACCGACAGCCGACGTGGCTGCCTGGTACGATACAGTACTGTGCACATGTACCTGCCAATAAACAGCTCATGAGTTTGAACCCTCATGGGATCGAGTTAATGTAAAAATGGAAAATTCCCAAAAAGAAAACGTAGAAAGTAGCTCAACCCGTTCATACAGGAGAGCACAACAGAGAAAAGTTAGGTCACTGTAAATCCAGCCACAGGCACCACCACAAAATTTTCCCTCATCCTAGTGTGAAAAGGAATCAATGGAATAATAGCAAATTGTTCTAGTGGACTAAAAGCCATTAAGAATTCGCTCTCTTGTTTGCGGAGCTTTTGTTGATTGATCTCTCAAAGCCAAAGCAATCTACTATATATATGCGAGATGAATTATTGAATATAATATTATAATGATACAAAGCGACAAACATATCCTCCCCTCTTAGAGTCGAACAGCATGCCCATGTGAAAGCCCAACTTTTTCAAAAAAAAAAAAAAAAAAAAAAAAAACTTCACAGATCATTACTTGCCAGAGTCATTAACCAGACTCGTCACTACTTGTTCACTTCAATAATTGCAACCACATTTTGTGAAATGTTCTACATATGCATTTCACTACCTGGACAGACTCCCTATATATACTCGTGGAATCCACGACGACTCTTTCTGTAATGTGGGCTTTTGGCACTTTTCGCCATGTTGGTGTTCGCCTTGTGCTAAAGAGAAGAGGGGGAAGAGAGGGAAGGGGGGGGGAGGGAGGAGATCCACAGTCCAAGGAAGAAAAAAAAAGAGAAAGTTTAAAGAAGTCTAAAAACACGCAAGCACACATCATAAGGCAAGGTCTTGAGTTAAAAAAAAAAAAAAAAAAAAAAGGAAGAAAAAAGAGAAAGTTGAAAAAACATGAAAGCACACATCACAAGGCCGTCGTCTACCAGAGCCGCGCGAGTAAATATGAAAACGTTTATTCGCAATGACCACAAATAATCATAAGTCACTTACCACCAACTTCTCATAGCTTGCATCCCTCACGTGCTCCTTCGCTTCCCTCTCACACCTCCGCTGTCCTTGTAGAATTCTTAAGCACTAAACGCCAAGAGCAGAACTTCAAAGATGGGCGAACTCAAAAAAAACTCAGCCTCATTATCTAAGCTGTCAATTCAGTTAGGGGCTGAAATGATTCTTATCTTACTAAAGAAAATGTTGACGTTCCAAGAAAAAGGAGGAGGATAAAACGTTAGTTAAGAGACCTCAGCTTGAGGTTAAATGAATAATAAGTGGACATCAAACATCCCTCGGATCTCCCTAGCGTATGCAAAGAATTATTGCAGAAAAAAAGAGAAATATATGTTGCCACACCATCCATGATTGGTACTCCACCAGACGGCCTTCCTTCCTTCAGACGGCCTTCCTTCCTTCAGACATCCTTCCTTCCTTCCTCCTGCCGTGGAGTGCCAATATCAACCAATCGTTGAGCTTATCCTTAGCAGAAGAGAGAGAGGTTACGACAGAAGGTGTACCCAACTACGACTTGAAAAGGATGGAATTTTTGACTGCCATTGCAGCCATCACATTCCAATGTGAAAACCTACGGTAAGCATGCCCGTGAAAAGCCCGCCTAACAAACTTCGCCAAGGGAGATGAAATTACCTCCCCGCACCACGACTAACTCGGGAGTAGATGTCCTTCCCAAGCCGATGTGGTCGACCAAATCTGCACCCGTCGCCGTAGCAGAAGATCAAAAACGAAAACGTAGGCATGACATGAGCACCGCATGCTCATGACGATACACCGTCAAAGACTGCGACAACAGTGCTATCGCAGTAACCCCCTCCAGATTTACCCTCCCTCTTGCCCCCCCCAAGCCCTCTCTCTCTCTCTCTCTCTCTCTCTCTCTCTCTCTCTCTCTCTCTCTCTCTCTCCACACACACACACACACACTTAAGCACTCCAACGCACAAATGCAAACACATGCACGGACACGCACATGCACACCCGCACAGGTACAGACAAAAAGGAAAGAAAAATTGAACAGGAAAAAGAGCAATGCTCTGAAGATTGGCGATTGGAAAACACCACAGGCACGGAAAAGCTGTGCTAGAAGTGCAGTATCACTCAGCAGACCCCCACCGACAGGGTGTAACATTCTGGACATTTCTGCACAAGCAGAAAGCACAGCCAAAAGCATAGCACCCTCTCTCTCTCTCTCTCTCTCTCTGTGTGTGTGTGTGTGTGTGTGTGTGTGTGTGTGTGTCTGTGCGTGTGTGTGTGTGTGTGTGTCTCGGGTGCCTGCCTGCCTCTATCACATATACCTCCACACACCATCAACTGCATGCATTTCTGGAGTTCAAAAAAGAAAAGGAGACTGTGACATGAGAGCACATCCTGAGAAAGGCATGGCCTGCTTTGGAGGCATTCACGCGGTGCAACTGTCCAAGCAGCGAACACAACGACAGAATATCCTAAGCAGACACTTTATTGTGGGTGCAGGCCAACATGACCCGCTGAGAAGCATCTTCTACGCAGGCCAAGCGTACAAGTGAACCCCCCTGCACACCGAGACCAGTGTCCACAACTCCCTCCATCTGCAGCCCAGCCTGGCTTTCGAGCCTACTACGCAGCAGGCCAAGCGCGTCGTAAAAAAGTCCTCCAGAGATTGTTTGCATGTCCGCGGTTCCTTCCCCTCCACTTAGGTTTTCGAAATCGACATAGCCATAACCACCTTGAACGCTGTCGAGCTAACCAATCCACCCTCCCCCTCCTTCTCCAGGGAAAACCTGTAGGGAACGTTTCGCAACTCGGAGCTACGTGAGCAATGTGATGTCCGCAAAAAGACACAAGTCTAACGTGCGAAATGATAGAGAGAGATGCTGCAGCAGGAGGGCCCTCCCATGACCATTAACCGAAACGCGAAGAATGAGTCCAACGTGCGAAGCATTAGACACAGATGCTGCAGGACGGCCCTCCATGACCATTACAAGCTGAACGCAAAGAACACAAAGAACGTTATCTAGTCCGTACATCCAGCCTGATTACCCAGAACCACACAATATACCCCCTTGCAAAAAAAAATTACCCTTTCGGGAAAGACCCCCAAACCACTCCCCTTCATCTCACCTGATCTCGCAGTGCAGCCATGCAGCCATATCCAGCCACAAACTTCCCTGCAGTCCTGCACTCCACCACGGTATCCTGTGCTGTGAACTCGCAAAAAAAGGGTTTTGTGATCATCAACTCTGTAAGGATCCAAGGAAACAACAATGCGCAACGAACAGCAAGGGCCCGGACCAATAGAGGTTGCTTGGCGAGACGAGGGCAATGGCGGATGCAAACCTCGACAAAGCAATCAATAATGTGACTGTTCAGGACTCGGCTGGAGGTACCTTCCACTTACTCAACAAGCCTCTCTGGGGCAAGCGAGCAGCGTTCGTGACTACTGACTGCACTGCTGCCCGGAAAAAGGCGTGCGCGATGGCAGGATGAAAGAGCAATTTGTTAGGAGAAGAGAGAGTTTGTCCTATCTTTGACAATGGTGGATGGGGTCCGATGGACTGAATCGCACAGACGGTGGGACGGACACCAACAGTTTCATAACCTGCATTCGACAAGAAGAAGAAACGTGAGCTGCAGCGGCTACATTGTCTCTGCAAGGCGGCAAAGAGAATGCCCACTGCTGATGTGCGACCCCTGTGCTCTACGACTAACATAATAATACAAATTTAAACTGCTTTCATATCCGGGGGGCTCAGAATGGACGAAACCATCATCCAATTGCGCCACGGAGCATTCCAAAGCCCAGCCGCACAAAACGTTAATAGCAGACTCAAACAGTCTCACGGAGGAGACATTCGCCAAGCAGAGAAAGGCATACGAAAGCTTTCGGATCAGAGGGCTCACATTCAGCGGAAAAGCTGCTTGTTTGCTTTTATTCGTCGTTGATGGCGGCAGCAACTACCAGTACCGATCACGGTTTACAGTCAGATAACCTGCGGATATTCGGCCATTTGTGCTGCGAAGCTCGTCAAGGATCAAACACCAAGTTGATCCCAAGGCTCCGACGAAGAAATCAGCCTCAGACGCAATTATGAGATTCACAAACGCGTTTTTGGTGCTAGTCTCCCAACCAACCTCCGCCTCATAATTGTACATTGCCTCCGTTCCGGTTTGTCTCTTCACCCTCGTGTAAAAGAACGTCCATGTCGTGTAGTTCTTCGAGTTGTCAATCACCTCCTGGAGAAAGAGAGAAATGACAGATACAACAGCAGCCGACGAGAGAGCCAGCACCAGTTATTCCCTTTTTACACCAGCGTCATCCTAGATGCACTCGCATAATGCACACTTGCCCCTTATGTATCACACTGTGGGTGACAGCAAATCGCACACATGTTGCAACCCACCTTAGCACCTCGTCATCGGCTGTACCTCACTCGCGCACGTTCCGCAGCATCGTCTCTCGTTCACCCTCAGACATTAAAACGAGAGGCAATGAGGCGGAATGTGAGTGCGTGAGGTAATGATTTCAGGTCACGTTCTCATATAAACACTGCACACGATCTGACCTGATGATCCGAGAACGTGACGTGAAAACAATACTAATGCGGCGGAATGTGAGTGAGTGAGGTAATGATTTCACGTCACGTTCTCATGCACACTGTACACAACCTGGTGATCAGACAAGGTGACATAAAAAGAACATTACTGCCGATTGTTCACGGACCACAAAGTCTGTACTTTATCAGCCACAGGACCTCCTCCGTGCACACACGTATTCCAACCAGCACCCTCAGCTTCAAGAGCCGAGTTTCTAACCACTACAGCCATGGCATGGTGTCCAAAAGTGGATCTATGGCGGTCATGATATCCACCCCACCCCTGCATGGCTGCAGTTGTCCTTCAACTCTCTCTCTCTCTCTCTCTCTCTCTCTCTCTCTCTCTCTCTCTCTCTCTCTCTCTCTCTCTCTCTCTCNTCTCTCTCTCTCTCTCTCTCTCACACACACACACACACACACACACACACACACACACACACACACACACACAAAAGCATCCGCTGAACAGGCATTAGTCGCACACTCCGCTCTCATCCAGCCCAACTGCTTATCCAACGGTTTTATACACGGGCCACCACATCCAGGTATAATTTCCAGGCTGGTTAGCCGGTTGAAGTACAGTCTGCACTTTATCAGACACAGGACCTCCTTCGTGCACACACGGATTCGGACCGGCGCCCTCAGCTTCAAGAACAAAGTTTATTAACCACTACAGCCATGGCACGGACCAAAGGACACAACCTTACACAGATTCCGAAACCACCACTTCAACAACAACATGTCTCAGCTTCAGAGCATACTCACACTAGGCCCTCAGACTCGCAAAAAATCACAAAATGAGCGGTCAGATCGAGTCCTTGTAGAGGAAGGACTTGATCTCGCCACTCATTTTGGGATTTTGCGATTTTGAGGGCCTAGTGTGAGTGTGCCCTCCGTCATTTCACTAAGCTGGCTCTCAATCATTTCCAGCTTCAAAATAAATACGTAGTAAGAAGTCATCACTGGAAAAAAAAAAAAAAAAAAAAAAAAAAGATAACAGTCAGTTAGACACAAGAGTGACATATGTCATACGCCCTACTGGCAACCCGAGATAGGCCGCCGTCATTCCAAAAATCTAACCACTCAGTCTTCCTTTGTAGATATAAGGGCGACGGTTCGCTGTTAACCACTTGTGTCGTCACGTTCACCAAGCAGAGCACAGACCAGACAGGGTTTTTTTTTTTTTTCTTTTTTCTTTTTTCGGGAACCATTTCTCAGTACGCTTGTCATTCTTGCAAGGTCCCATTCTAATGATCGTCTTCGTCTGTACCGTTCCAATTTTAACGGGACGTCCCAAAGGACAGATCGTGTACACATTCCACGTACCTGCATTTCCGAGCTCAACCAGATATACTTGGTCTGAGGGAACTCTCTCCGAACATCTTCTGCCAGTTTCATGTACTCTTCAAAGGTGGCGATTCGCATCTCCGACGCCTTATCCCCCATGCGAACATGCACGCTGACGAGAGGTCGAGGTACGTAGGGCTTTGATTGGAACCACAAGGTGCTTTGCAACGAATCATTTCGAAGAAGTTCCCTGTACGGATCCTGCTTGTGATAAAGGCTTTGCGCAAACTGAGACATATCTTTGCTCCATTCGGAAGACTCCGGCATGGGCTCATTTGCAGACGACTTGAGAGTCTTATCTTGCGCATGATCCACTGGGGACAGTCCTCTCTCCACGTCCTTGAAATCTAAAATCTTGTCAAATGTCAGATCGTCGTCATCACCGAGCTCCATGAGTAGGATCCGACCTTTCCTCTGCGCTTCATTTACATATGGTCTTTTTTTGCGGATATGCCGTTGCAACAACTTCCTCGACACTGCAAGATTCCACCTTCTTTGTGCCAGTGTACCTGCAAAATGGTGGGGACCGGCGGCAGCCGGCGACGGATTTGGCTGGTTTGTCCTTCTTCTTACCAGGTCACTCTGAGATGGCGCAGCTGGCGAGCCAGCTCCTTCTCTCACTGATTGCATATTTCTCCCCGTACCGGGGAAGAAGATCTCGTCATACAAACCTGTCTCAATTACTTCTCGTGCCACCATATCGCCGAACATCTCATGTCTAACATCATTCAACAACCTACATAAGTACTCACTCTGGTACCTCATCATGTACCGCAGTGCCTGCGATCGCCACCAGAACGTCGGATCAACCTTCGTTTGCGCGATGACCTTTCCCTCAATCTGATCCGTCTTCTCCATATAAAACCATGGCTCACCCCAATTCCTGTTTTTTGTGTCCACCGCAAACAGAGATGTCACCAAGTCCCACAGATCAGCATGGGATGTCCCCAGAAATACATCACATCATGACCAGTTTTCCCTGTTCCAACGGGACCAACTTGCGCTAGTTTAAGCAAAAGCGTTTCATGTTCCCAAAAATAAATCACATCATAACCAGCTTTCCTTTTCCATAGGTAACATCACAGTGTTCTCATGTTATGCCAAATGAAAAGGGGAAAAACGAGTAGACAAGAACACACTTCCATACACCATGCTCACTCAAGAATCAGCACACGCGCGCACACACACACACACACACACACACACACACACACACACACACACACACACACACACACACACACACACACACACACACACAC